GAGAAAAGATTTTACAAATAGGAAAGAACACAAGTCTGATCAGTGGTTTTGGATTAGACCATCTAATCAGTGGTGTACAGTATGTAAAAGCAGCACTTCAACATTGGTGATAAGACTTTTAGGTTGTTTTTCTTTGTTCTAAAAAGTAATTTAAATGCTACAGCTCTGTGAAAACAGAATTCTAAATTGCAAGAATTTCTGTATCTTCTCTATTTTGTCATGTTTGTGCTTTTCTTTTTACCAAGGCTGTTGGTGGACCAGTAGGTGGTGCTGTTCTCTTTGAATCTGAATTTCCAAAACAGTATCTTTAGTACTGTCCTGTGGGTATCTTTTGGATGAGACATTACCCAGAGTTTCCTACTCAACCATTAAAGCCCCAAAAGCTATTCCTGCAACAGCAGTGATGTTAATCCACATGACCTGGGTAATATCCACTCTACACTTGTACATTCTGAGCTCTCCAAAGTTCCTCCTTCATCCAATTTAAAAACAAATTCAAAATTCTCCAACTAATTTGCTGTGTAGCGGGCTGCTGATGCCGAATGACTGTTGCACTTCAGTGCTGGATTGGATCAGTTAGCTATTTATGATCCTTTAGGCTAGAAATCTCTGTGACACTATACTGTAAATAAGCGCCGTCCTTCGGATGAGACTTAAAACCGAGGTCCTGACTCTCTGTGGTCATTAAAAATCCCAGGGTGTTTCTCGTAAAGAGTAAGGGTCTAACCCCAGCTTCCTGGCCAAATTTCCCTTGCCTCCTAATAATCCCCTTCTATGAATTGTCTACATTACTTTGTTCTCCTGCCCCCTCTCCCACTCCGACAGCAGGCGGAACGAGGCGCAGGTTGGAATATTTCTCGGTCGCAGTTAATGGCAAAGTCACCTCAAAGATTTGGTTCAAACCACTAAATGGAGACTGGTGTGCCGACAAGCGGACCCTGCTGATGCGGGATTAACACTAGGAAAGAGAGAGAGGCTGGAAATCTCTGTATAAATACACATAATTACTTAAAGCATTTTAGAAGTAAATTTCTCATTATGCTGATTAGCTGCCCCTCTGTAAGTAAAATATTGAATAATGTTGTCAAAATGGCAAACTGTTTCAGCAAAGTTGCCATCATTTCATGTTTCTATAGCTTCTGAAGTACTGCAGCTGCCACAGGTACACATTTATCATGCTGCCTTACAAAACCTATATTTCAACTACTGCACTTGACCCTGGTTTATATTAATCTTGTGCCAATACATCTGCTTCCCTGGACAGGATTGTCCTTTGGTGCTCAGTGTTTTTGGACAGGGATCGTCTTCAGCTGTGAGTGCATTTCTGATTGCTGCCCTTCTGCTTACCTGTGACACTTCTAGCACCACTGACTGTTTGACATATTGACCAAATTTCTGTCTGGTGTCGCTGCCACAAACGTATTGTTGCACAGCAATTGGAAATGTTTAGTCAAAAGGTCCACTCCATTCCTCTCACCCTCACTCACCAGTCTGTTGCCTGACATTACCATAAGAATGACTTCAAGTCACTTTTTTATAGTAAATGAGTTGCCATGGTTGTTTTTTTATAGATTAGACATTATGAAATGTCAGAAGTGACGGCAAGTTTTGTGTTTAGCAACTAAGTGCGTAGTTGACTGTTAGTGTGGTGAGGAATCAGTGCTTGTCTATAATTCAGTGTTAATGACTGTACATTCTAGTACTTGACTTACATGTGTATCATGCACTTACATACGTTAGCATGGAGTTTTAAAAAGAGTAAGGTCAGTGAATCAAGTTGTTGCTTTCTGCTATCATACTGTATGTATCCTAGGAAATACACAAAAAGCCACATTCATATTAATATTTTATTTTATTGTTTATTTAAAAAAAAGCATTTAGCAAACCTAATGTGGAAGGATGTTTGCATTAAAATAGACTTTAGTACCATATACTGATAAACATAGTATTTAATGTTTGTGATGTACTGTAAATCACATATTAAGCCACAATGTACTGCACCTCTTTTATCAAAAGCCTGTTTTTTGTTCTCATTTTTAACATAAATTGATCATAAAAATACTAAGTTTCAGCCACAGAACCATATCCTACAGCATCAAACATTCTTATATTTGCCACTATAATAAAATCTAAAATCTTGTAGTTGTAAAACCATATTCTCAAGCCTTCATTTGCTTTCTGTTTAAGAGATTCTAGTCCTCTGATTATGCCCACTGATCTTTAACAGCCCTCAACTAATTGTGAGTCACAGCCACGAGTGGTGGTTAGTAATAAAGTCTAGGATCAGCAAGAATTACAATTATGTGTTTCACAGGTTTTACATATTGTTATTTTGAGATAACAGATATATCAGAATTGCTGGTAAATAAATACCATAGGTTTTCTGCAAATTATGTAATATAATAGATATACAGTACATACAGTATAGCAATCTGTACTTCAGTACATAATTCTGAGTGGCCATGAGTACAAAAACATTTCATAACATTTGGTAAATAACACATAAGTTACTTTAACATCTGGTAACATTTCATACTGTAAGTAACACAAAAGTTACTTTAACAAAAGTCATTGGGAGGCATAGTTGTGCAGAGGTTAGCACTGCTGTGCTGCAGTGCTGCAGCCTTGGACCTGGAGTGCTATCTGCATGGAGTGTGTATGTTCTTCCCGTGTTCACGTGGGTTTCCTCAGAGTCCGAATACATACTGATAGTTCAATTGGCTTCTGCGAAAATAGGCCCTGGTCTGAGTATGTGTCTGTGTTTGTGTCTGTGGTGTCCCATCCAGGGTGTACTGTATCCTGCCTTGTGCCCATTGATTGCCTGGGGTCTTGTATATCTTAAATTTTGGATTAGACCCAAAAACATTAAACTCCCAAATTATCTTATGCACTTCATCTCCAGGAAGTGTGTGTTTCTTTGCTTGCTGCATATTTTCTCTGTCGTCATTTTAATTAATTGTCACATTAAAGTGATTTTCTCCTCCTGCTAGGCTCTGGCATACGTGACACAATACTGCTGTTTCTGCTAGCTGCTTTCTTATTCCAGCTGACTGCCTGTCACACTCTGACACATTACTCATCATGCTCCTACTCCACTCTGCCCGCATCCTGCTTCAGCCTTGACGGGCTGGCATATAAGAGAAGGGCTTTAAACAGTGCCAGAACAAAAGACAGCCAAAACAAGAATCAAATATAATGGAATGACGATTAACTGGACATATAATGGCAAGGAAATGGCTGCTCTGGGATACAAAGTATAGTGTAGCATGCTAACATTTCTGTATTCAATCCGCCACACATGTGAATTATTTGAAAACTGTGACTAACAATAACAAAAAATGCCACGGGAATGAACACGTGGTGCTGGTATTATGGTTTCATGAACATATTTCACAGTGTAAATCAAGTAGTGACTGCTTTAACTCTTGGAGCAGATTAAATCACAATGTTCTCGTTAACCTAAATTACCAAAATGTTTTTAAAAAATTACAAATTGATGTTTTTATTCATATTACTGTGTTCAATTCTGAATGATGCTCAAATATGCAAATGTCTTTGCCTTAAGCACTCCATGACCTGCAACATCGCTAAAAGAAGCAGCTGTGGTCCATCGTCAGAGATACTGTTAAAACTCCGAATACAGTATGTGCAACTCTTGCGCGCAGTTGACCTCAAGCAGGACAACAATCCAGCAGAGTACAGTGTACTGTCGATGTCTCAGTAATGTGTTAACAGTTTAATACTTTAGGAAAAGGGTTGTAAGTGTTTAATTTAGCAAATAATCGGTCTAATTCCTGAGTACCAGTTTTAATTGCTCCATGCTTTACGTAGTCGGCCAGTATATACAACTTTGAATAAGCGTTGGTTTACGGTAATAGATCGTGCAGGATTCTGTCGGATCCAGGTGCGGAACACAGAACTCATACTGCGTACTCATGTCCGATGCCACTTCTAAATCCAAAATTTGGTTTCTTGTTAATGTTATTACAACGTCCACTTCACATTTACTGTCATAGATATTTATATAGGGATATACCGTCTTCGTAGTTGCTCACTTTTGTCTGGCTTCTCTGTTTTTAAATATACTATATTCACACATGTGAATAAAGAGTTTCTGGTTGACCGTATGTACAGTACAGTTTACTGATATTAGGCAATGACAAAGACATACAGTAAAACATTGTTAATCATCTGTATAGCCTCATAATTATTACCATTAAAGCATGCATCGATTTTAATAGTAAAATGTCCAAGTTATGTACAAAACAGACGAAGATATGATTTTAAAGAAAAAACATAACTTCTTTGTAGTTCCAAGAATGAATGTATTTGAAGTAAAAAGGGACCTTTAATAAAAATAAAGAAGAACTCGTTTAATAATGGAAGATATCTGAGGTATTATAAAATAAAAAAGGTTAACGTGTTTAAAGGATTAGTTTTATATTCAAAGATTCTTTTAACAAAAAAGTACGGCAATGTAATGACTTACGCAATAGGCTTTGCTAGGGTATAACATCTCTGAGCTTTGTATTCACAAAACAACTTTATTACATTAAGACGCATGCATTTACAGCCTATTTTCGCAGTATTACGACGAATACTATTTTTTTCTAAGGAGACTCCAAGAATATTTAATTGATTAAGCAATTAAAAGCATACAGCATAATAATTATATAATAGTCTCGGTGAAATACTAACAGCTTTCCAGCGCAATGGAGACTGATATAAATTTAAACATATTTAAAGAACTTTTATACTGTATGATGGTTGTAAAGCTTGTAAACTTGTTTCGCAAATGTCCTTGGAATCAATTGGTTTGATTGTTTTAAGGTAACTAAGTCTCTTTGAATGACAACCTCAAGCCGGTTTTTGCCTTAAAATAATAAAAATGGCATAGGTGCATCTCCATCTGAAGGATAAAGTGCATCATGCACATACAGTATTGGTAGACCTAGCGCCGTGGGGACTGGTTGGTGACGTCTCGACGCAGCCCACTCCTCACAGCATTTTCAGTGAGCACAGGCAGGAGAGAGGCTCTCATTAGAACCGGCAACGGGAATACAAGCATCAGGTGAAAGGGAAACATCTGGTTGAGCAAGATTCAATACAGCGGAGCCGAACAAAACCACGAGAAGAATCAAAAAGCTAATGAGAACAAAGACAAAACACCGATATGCTGAATGTACAAATTTTGCGCCTAAGGGGATGCAAATATTTGCGCATTGAAACTTTAAACATTTGGTTTATTGTAAATTCCGGAGGAGTACGCACTAAATGCGTTAACGCTTCCAATAGTACAGTCTAAAACTAAAGACCACGATGCAGCTAATGAAAATGTACCTTTACTGTTTCAAATTAAGCTGGAAAAACTGCATAATTTAATTACCTTAATAGCGGACTTTACTTGTAGATTTGTCGACTCATTCCATTCCGTTCTTCGGTTACAAAACACACTTATAAAACTTCTCAAACATGAATGTATTTTAAAATTCAGATATTTTAGGTTCCGTCCATTTGTTCACGTTTCAAAAGCGAAAGCTTTTTTTTTTCCTGAAGTGATGGACGCGGCTGTTTTTCATAACCAAAGTGAAAGAGCGAGCTTTTTCAACAGAACTGACGCTCGGGAGGCTCCACCGAAACTTTTGTTCGGTATCGGCATTGACAACTTCATTACGCTTCTGATCTTCGGACTCATTTTTACACTGGGAGTGCTGGGCAACTCTATGGTGATAACGGTGCTGGCTCGCAGCAAGCCGGGCAAACCTCGCAGCACCACTAACATCTTCATCCTAAACCTCAGTATAGCCGACCTCTCCTATCTCCTGTTTTGTATCCCTTTCCAGTCCACAGTCTACATGTTACCAACATGGGTCTTGGGAGCTTTCATCTGCAAGTTCATTCACTACTTCTTTACCGTTTCCATGCTCGTCAGCATCTTTACCCTCTCTGCCATGTCTGTGGACCGCTACATTGCCATCGTGCACTCCAGAAAGTCCTCCTCCATTCGAGTGGCAAGGCACGCTCTGATAGGGGTGATTGCGATTTGGATCCTGTCTCTCGCCATGGCCGCCCCTGTAGCCCACCACCAGAACATCGTTGAAAGAGGGGGGAACAGTACGTTTTGTTGGGAAGTGTGGCCGGACCACAAGCAAAAGAAGATTTACGTGGTGTGCACCTTTGTTTTTGGGTATCTACTGCCTCTTCTCTTAATTTCCTTCTGTTACGCAAAGGTGGGTCCAAAGGATTTCTTTGATCTGTACTTCACGCAGGGCGCTCCTCATTATTTAACGCCTGTCCATCTGTAGCTTCTTTAGTTTATGATCACAGATACAGTTCATTTTTCCATTTCTGAAGTTATCATTTGAGATGATCATTTGTCACCTTACAGATATCTCGTCATTTGAGATGACATATCTGTAAGTTATGCAACGAATTTAAATCCATTTTAGGCAATTCATTCACCTAAGAACCTACCTTTTTTTCATTATTTTGTTATCCAGTCAAAATTTTGAACGTATTATATTCTTTAGTAAGTACGAATTTGTGTGAAATCTAATACGCAATACTGTACTGAATACAGTAGCCTGCAACTTTGCCGTCATAAAATATCTGTAAATATCGCGGACTTACAGTAAATAACCTCGAATGAATGCAGATGTAAGATAAACCAACCCAAAACAGAAAAGAGTAGGAAAACGTTAATTAATAGAAGTTTTAATTCTTCACCGTTACCATTATTCTCTCTTCTTTCTTATGTCATGTTGTCTTTTTAATAATGTATTAAAATGTTTTTGCAGGTTTTGAATCACCTGCACAAAAAACTAAGAAACATGTCCAAAAAGTCGGAGGCGTCCAAGAAGAAGGTAAGCGTTCTGCTTTTGCGCATAATGTGTACAAAATATGAGCAAGATTTGAATGACCCAGTAATGGATGGCAATTTTAAAAGGCAGTTCATTTGTCAGCTTTATTTCCTAACAGTAAGTAATGGAAACCATTGCACTCTTACTACATGCAGTTATAGTTTAAATGGTCCATGCATCTGTAATATAAGATGAAATAGACTAAAGTTGATAAAGTGAGTCTTAAATAGACACACTGACAAAGACAGTGACTCGATTTATTTTGTGGATCTCCTCCATGCCTTTTACCCATTTATATGCTTTTGAATCACACCTTGGATTTTAGTCATTGCATCAGTCTTTGGTGATTTTACAAAATTGACTCTCGTTTATTGTTTTTCTTACAGCTTAATTTTTCTTTGGAGATTTAAGTTAGTTTTACTCTGTGCCAACCTGAAGCAGTTGTCTTTAGTGTTGACATTATGGTTTATTGGTTTCAGATTACTCATCCTTTTCTTTATTTAATTAAGTTCTTATCAGAGAAGGTTCATTGCACTAATTAACCCTAGTTTTGATTTCGCTGTAGAGAAAAAATAGTGCACAAATAAACATGTCTAAATACATACAATGATACAGGTAGGCTTGGGCTTAAAGCAGACAAGCTTCAATTAGTTGCCTAGGTAACAGATTTGATTGTTGTGGATAAAAAGCATTAGGGGCTTGAATCCACCTTTGCCATTAAAAAAACATAAACAAAAACATTTTGTCTGTATTATACAGTATGAAATCTAATTAATAATAGTGATTATAAGGAATGCTTCAAAATAAAGTTTTATCTAATAAAATGATTGTATCCCAAAGTATAGAAGACTTTTAATGTTCCTCCCCCATAATGAAATGCTGCTGAAGTGGAAGAGGCCTTCTGATGTTTATAAAAACAAAAAATGCCAGTTACTTTATTGCTTTGTGTGAAATGAAAATAAAATGTAACTTTATAAGAAAGTACTTGTTAAATTAGATCATTCTACTTACTGTATGCAGTATACTGTTTGTACCCATTTATTTAGCTGGGTATTTTTCTGAAGCAATCTGAGTGAAGTACCGTCCAAGTAGTGCCCCACCTATGATTCTAGTCTACAACTTTACCATTCTTTCAGAGAAAGTAAAAAAAAAAAGCCTTAAATTTTCTAGATTATTTTTAATTGTCCAGCACCTCACTGGTACTTGTGTCATACAGGTCAGTCGTGGCTCTTTGTGTTGTGCTGAATTTATTCTTACAGTTGGATGAACGCACATCTTTGTAAAATTGCTAATAGCTATAATACCACAGTTTACTATATGGAAAGTTCTGGAAGGCAATCATTTTCAAAATGTATGTACAGATAAATCAGATTAACCAAGTGAGTAAACATCACTTTTCAGCAGCCTGGCATGAGAACAGGCTGTTCAAATAAGTGTTTAATCAATACAAAGAGCCTTGAAAGAAGGAGACTTTCCTGCTTTATTAAAATAAAGTGTAAAACTAACAGTGTGAGACATGCTGCCAGGGCCAATTGAGAAAACATTTATTTTTAACACATTTAAATTGTGCCTTAATTACATTGTTATAACTACAAGGAAAAAAAAGTTATTTAAGAGGTCATTCATACTTTATTTCAATATGTATGTCAAAGTCCAGCTGCCTTGCCTTAACTTGAAAATCTGATTTGCTCTTCTTTTAAAATCTTGGTCTGATACAGTACCTCTGATTAACAAGGAATGCATTTTTAATCAGTACAATTATGCCTGTCTTCAGATTCTAAAGATGTATTCTTTGAAAATCTTACACCAAATGAGTTGAAAAATTATTCAGCAAATATGGGTGTAGTGAAAAAATGATCTAAGACACATTCTTATACTACTGTACCTACTACCTACATAAGAATCTGGCTTTACAGTAGGTATGTCCTCCTTTTGCCATTTTGTGTGCTTTTGGGTTGATTTTTCTGCATCTGACTAAAAACATTCACTCTTTCCTGCAAACAGCTATCTTTACATTTAAAACAATGAAGTTTCTCTCAGTTTTTTCCAACAGGTTTAATCCTTTTTTGATGTACTGAAATTACAAGCCATGACCAGTGAGGGTTATGAGCACTTTGCATTGGTCCCGTTAGTAGGACAGAGCCCTTCCATATTGGAAGACCAAACCTGTCCTAGAAATAGTATGTGCAGTCTTGCAAGGATGCTGATATTCATAACATAGGCAAAGTCATTTTGGTAAACTAGACAATTATACAATTTCTCGGTTTTTGGAGGTAGCATATCAAGGCACTGTAGCTTCTAGTTCACAGAAAGCTCCTTTCCAAACTAATGATATTATTTTTATGGAATATTTATTTGGGAAATTAGTGGTTGTATAACAAGTTATCATTGTATTTCTTGCTTGCAGAAAACATGTTTTCCCCATGTGTGATATTAGTGACATGCTTTAGTTTTACTTTTGTTAAAAAAGGAAATTAGCAGATTAAATTGCGTAACATGATGCAGGTGATATGGGAATTTAATTTGCTGTAACAGTTGGAAATTGTCATGGTAAATTGAGAGTACTTGATAACTTTTGGGAATTAGTCAAACATAATAATTCACAGTATTACACACATTGTAATGTAAATATACTTGTATAATACACAATTAATTTATTTAACGCCACAACATGCATAACAAACAATAAACATATGCAATCGATTAAATTATCTGCTATGATACAAAAGGTTGATCATTCAGTCAGGGATTACAAAAATATGCATTTACTATTGTGAAATAAACATCAAACATGTTTGGAGTAATAGTTCTATTCTTGAGAATTAAAATATAAATAAAGAAGTTTTATACCCAAAGATCCATTGATCACAGATCCTTGATAGATTTCCTGCTGGTAAGATGGAGCCTGGGTTTGGTCTGGGAGTGTCCCGGTTGCAGATGGAGAGGAACAGAAAGTGCTTTGACTGGCATTGCTGGGCAGCTCTCATTGAACTTCAGTCTTTAAAACACTGTACAGACTTTGTGTTCTTTGCACTGCAAGGTAGCCAGTGAGGAGAACTCGGTTAGTCTATAGTTATACCAAGTTATAGTTTGGTTTGGAATTTTCACAATATTCAGAATGTCATCAAAAGAAAGAGTCCCATTCCTTCTTCTTCTGTTTCAAAGGAAATGTCTTGGACAGAATCTGTACTTCACTGACACTCTCTTTGCCTGGCATTTTGGAGAAACATTTCAGTCCTGACTCTGAGTCCTTGTAGTCACAAGGTTGGAAAAGTCAGATTGCTGGTTTAGTTGGAGAGAGAAAAGGAGGCAGTGAGTTAACCAAAGAAAATTAGTTGGGTGACAGCTTTTAATGTGCGACGTCACAGTTAATGATTGGGTAAGATGCTAGCAGGTATAGTTCTGTTACCCTCATTGGTGGACCTTCCTTTTTGGGGAATGAACAGTGACCTTGAACTTGTGGTCTTGGGAACAAAACAGACTGCAAAGCTCATAGAGCCCTTATGCACTATATACCATTATATATACCTTTACAATATCTCATATTAAAATGGCTTCCTACCATATTCCTCTGCATTTAGATAGAGGCTCAATCTATCTTGTCAAGGCACCACAAAGATTATTAGAAATATTTATTAACACTTAATTCTAGGACAACCCTTTGTCCCTACAATGGTCAGAGGCGGTATAATTCTTTTCGATCTCCCAAATCTTTTAAGGTGGGGGTTTTTGGTGCCGGACGGTGTGAAGCAACTTGCACTTTCACAGCTGGATTGGATGGCTTGTATACAGTCTACTGGCTGCAGAGTGAGAACCTGTGACCTGAAGAAGGGATTATTATGTTGCTGCATGTAGTCAGAATATTATATGTTTATATTATAAACATCTGTCTTGCACAGGACTAGTGAACAATAAGTACACCATTTCAGTCGATCATCTTTTGAAGGGGTGCAAGTTCCACAATGACTGTCAGAAGAGATAGCATTGTTTGGATGAGTGTTGCACTTCCCATGGACAAAAACACTGCTAGATAGGAACTTAACTTAAGCATAAGTATTTAGACTTGTAGGCTCAGTATTCAGTGGAAACATCTTAGGCAGCAGTGTCTGTTAAGACTCTTTGTGGTTAAGACAACCATCTTTGCACATTGATTTTAGTGAAAAAAAGATTTTTGCCAGTTCTTCTAGAAAAATGTTCTAAAGCTCTCTCATGTTCTTTGGGAATCATTTATGGACAGTAGTTTTTTAGTCTTTCCACAGATTCTCAATAGGATTCAACTCAGGACTTTGGGATATTCAAGGAGCGTGTTCATATTTGAGTGGTTCAAACATCTAAAAACGTTGGCCATGTGCTTTAAGTCATCGTCCTGCTGAATTGGTATCCCAATACCAATTTTGGGTCTGATGCAGCTGTCCTTGAAGATTTGCAGTGCTTTGCTCCATCAGTCATTCTATCATTCCTGACAAGCTCCTCAGTCCCTACTGATAAGACGTAGATGTCAGTGATACACATAAGCCAGACGCTCACTCTGTTCTGGGGTCTGCATTGGAAGACAGACGTCCAGAGGCTGGCCTACCACCAAGTCGCCCTACGCCCGCGGCTTGAAGGCATATGTGAAAGAGCCGGAGCACCCTTAAGAGGAGGGATTACAATCGTGACAATGACCAAAACAAATATTCTAAATGGGGTCTTGCTAATGTGTTTTATATTTTTTACATAACTTATCACTACATTTTGTTTGACTTGTTTATTGGTTTTCTATGTTGTCTAGAAGAAGAAAATGGTGTTTACATAAATGTCTTAGTCTGTTTCATTGGTTGTTTCTTCAAGCTCAGTTTGTCCTATCATTTACAGTACATTATAGTTTATTTTTTGCTGTCTGTCTGCATCCCATGCATGGAGGGAGTCTTAATATATCATATACAGTATATCATATTGTATTCATTACAGCTATAGCTTTATCAAAGAAGTCTAACAGATTAGGGAAGCAATACCTGCCTTTT